AGAAGTGAATGGATTAACCACAAATATTTCCATTCCTTATTGATTCAGCTCTGATGACGTCTGAAGGTTTTAAATGTATATTTCTGGTGATAGAGTTACCGCTAGGTTGACTGCACCTAGCTGTCACTTCTCCGCAACAAAGAAGTGAGAGTGGGTTCGGGGCCATTGGAAGGCAAGGGAGTGGGCTTCCTTCTTCAGGGGTCTTCCTGGGACAGAGAAATCCCCTAGGCCACCCAAGAGATTGCTTTCATTTTGTGGGACCCGTCCTGCTCCCCAGAATGGCACCTGTCCTCTGTGTGGACTGGTGTGGAAGGTGCGTGGACTGACAGGGACCTGTGTTTACCCCATTCCATGGCTCTACATCTTTCTACTCTGAGTTACAACGCTGTAAGTAGTTTCCTTTTGCAACACATGGATTCAAATAGCTGGGGTCTTGGAAGAGAGTCACTGTGGCAACAGCTTATGGTTTATGCAAACACAGCTCTCCAAAGTCTAACTATTACTGGGAGGACCTCTTCCAACCTTGGACAGAGGGTGGGGTCTAGCTGACATCAAAGTTCAGCGACATTCAGCAGGGAATTCGGAGCCAAAGGACTTTATCAGTTCCATGCTGTGTTGTTTAACTGGACTTCTCACTCCTTATTCCTGAGATCTCTGTGTCAAAGTTGGATCCTTTCTGTGGTTCACTGGGAAGTACTCTCACTTCCAGGTTCACAAGGTTGTCCCAGGCCAGAGTTTTCAGTGCAAAATCCCTGCTGTCACTCCACAGGAGTACTGAGGCGGTGGTGCACTGTTGGAAATGTTGTTTCTCAGAGGCTCTGCCCCTGCCCTTGCGAGCGGTGACAGAAAGGCCCACAATATCTATCCCTCAACTGTCCCCACTGAAAACAGATGATCTGGTCACGATACCAGTGGAATCTTGCTGTGCGCAGACAGTCATCCGCACATTTTACATTGATGGCAGCGACGAAGCATCAAGAGCACTTCCTTGGAAGGAAAGGGGGCGCTTCCTGAGGTTGCAGAAGGCGCTAATCGAATGCGGTCTCTCTTGACTATACCTGACCTTGCCCTGACCGTAGTGTTGTGCTGTGGGTGTTTAAGAATGAAGAGAGTAGATTCCCACTTGCTGTGATCTTCACTGGAGAACGCGTTTTGTGTAAATGGTCAGGCAGCTGAGTAATTGCAGCGTTTAAAAATAGAATGAAAGTGGAAGATCGCCAGGAGGGCTGCGGCGTTGGGCTCTCGATCAGAGGGAGTGTGACCAGGACGATAGGTTGCAGGCTGATATTATATGTGGAGTTTCTGGCAGAGTGAGGGTTGGTTCTGAAGTAAACACTTGCCCTGGATCTCTCATCTATTTTTAGACGCTGGTGCTATTTTTACAGCAGACATTTCACATCTGTGTTTACAGAGCAGTTCATTATGGTCAGGTAACCATTCAGTCTGCTGTGTATTTATACTAAACCAATGTAAACAAACACAGTGAAAATATCCCGACAGCTCAATCCCAGCACTTAGCTTATCCTCAGCAGTCTCTAAGAGACTGATAGGAGATGTGAAGTCTTTATTTACACTGGCTCAGTAACAATAGACGCACGATGTACACATTGAGTCACATCCATTCTGTGTGCTTGAAGAGAGAGGAACTCATTGTAGGAGGGGATGGAGGGTTGACCCATAGCAAGATTTCAGGGCAGCCAACAATCTGACAATTTGCCTAAACTAAAACTTCGTGTCAGTGATTGAACCCAGACTGGCACTGAAATCCTCATGGCTCTGACAGTACATATAAAAATCTTGCATTTGAGCAACATTTCAGTCTCAGGTTTAATCACTTGAACTGACTGTCTGAGTATTTGCCACCCTGAACTACAAGGAGGTCATTTCCAATTCATGGACTACCCCTCTTCAGCTTGCTCAGCACCCCACTCACCTACTCCCTCCACCGCCCACACACTGGCAGCACCATGTACATGACACACTGCAGAAATTCACCAAGGTTCTTCTGATAGCACCTTCCAAAACCATGACCACTTCCATCTCGAAGGACAAGGGCAGCAGGTACATGAGAACACACCACCCCCTACAAGTTCTCCTCCAGGCCACTCACTCACCATCCTGCGTGGAAATATATTACTGTGTTTTCAGTTTTGTTGGATCAAAGTTTACCTTTACACCAAAATCCTCCCTTTACTTTTGAAATGTTACCCTGTGTGGCCCATTGACACTCTTTCTAGTGTTGGGCACTATTTGATTTGACTTATTATTGTCACATGTACCTAGCTACAGTGAAAGGTTTTGTTTTGCGTGCAGCACAGACAGATCACACCATACAAAGTGCACTCGGGTAACAGAACAGAGTAAGGAATTATGTTAGAGCTGCAGTGAAGGTGCACAAAGAACAGGATCAATATTAAATTTAAAATTTGAGAGGCCCATTCAGAAGTCTAATAACAGCAGGGAGGAAGCTGTTCTTGAATCTGTTTGTACATGTGTTTAAGCTTTTGTATCTTCTTCCCAACATTGTGGTGTATATAAATGCAATCTGTTGTTGCTTATGTAACAGAGAACATTACTCCTGTTGTGAGAGCTACTTTTAGACTTGTTCACTGTTATTTCGAGAAATGTGGATTCCCAGAGTTAGATTTTGCCATATGTTGAAAGTTCTGTACTGTACCTGAGGCAGCACATTCAGGAAAACAGAAAGCAAATCTGGTTTGTCAACTAACCTGCCACAGGTTCTGCAGGCAGCCATTTTGCTTTTCCAATCCCATCATGCCTTTGGTGTAGCATCACATTGGCTATTTTTATGTTTTAAAATTATAACTTAGTCACTGCAAAAATAGATTCTGTTCCAGTCAAATAGGAATGGTTTGCCTCCCTGCAGTTTCCTTTTGAAAATCCTAGGCCAAAATTACAGTGTGCCGCTTCTTTATGTAGAGTCTACCTTTAATTTGTTTATATTTGAGGAAGAGGGTCATGAAAGTACTTTGGGTAGTGTCGTGTATTTCTTGGTTTCAAACCCACTCGGGCTGGTAGAATGTCAAACTTATCTAAGAGTTGCCTGAAGCAGTTTGAGGTAAACTGAGAGTGGAAATGTTTCCAACTAAGTGATCTCAGTCCAAGTGATATCCAACTGGTAATAACACATAGAGAATCCAATGTTAAGAATCTGTGTGAAAAAAGGGTAGACATCATGGGTGGATAGTCATCAGACTTATTGGAATTAAGGTCCATAATGTACTCGTGCTAAAATAATTTAATGGTACAGAGTAGAAGTTTTACATTAAAACTCTCTGTGCTTCACTCCATATGGAACCCTATTCAGTACCTGGGAGTGTCTGATGGGGACAATGTTGAGGGAGCTTTACTTTCAGTTTAAAAGTGTAGAGGATGCTGAAATAACACCACAGTGGCCGGTATACCGTCACCAAGTCATCTTTGATTTACACGCGGAGAGTCCTTGACACTGATCCAGCTCCGTGTGTTGTCCGTGTGTGGGTAGTGTTTGATTGCGACGAGAACTTTTGAGAGAACTGTGTCGAGAGAACTTTCCTTTTAGTTTTAACAGAGTAAATCTACTGTGTCCCTATCCAAGATTCTCAGGACAGGGACAGCACAGGTTATATACAGAGTAAAGCTCTCTCTAAAAAGTCACATCATGCACTCCCAGGACAGCTACAGCACAGGGTTAGATATGGAGCCCTGGGCGTATTTGATTGGGACAGTGAGGAGGGAAATTTTTTGAATTAGCTTTATTGACACTTGTACTCAGATGAGCACAGTGAAAAGTTTACTCAGCATATATCCTTCCAATGTATCTGTACTGGGAGTGTTTGATGGGGACAGTGTAGAAGAAACTTTGCTCTGTATCTAACCCTGTGCTGTAGCTGCCGTGCAATGTTTGATGGGATAATATAGGGGTGAATGGGTGTTATATTGTATTGTTCTGTACATGCCCTACAAGTGGTTAACACCACTTTGGATGAGGAGTCTGTCAGTGTTCGTAGGTGCTGATCAATAGCACCTTGGTGATGATGAATCAGTGAAAGACATTCAGAGGGTGGATTCAGACTCCTGACTCATAAGTTGCACTGAACTGAACATGGCGAAGATGTTGGAAAGTATCATCCACAACTGGTTTTCCTTCCTTCTTTCCCTTAACCCTCTGAGTCGTGCTCCAAAGCATCTGGAACCATTCCAGTTTTCAGGGAGAGAATGGGAAGGGGACAGTGGTGGTAGACACTGTGTCATACTATATTCAGTTTAATATATCTCAAAAATTCTATGCTATGTGTTTGGAGTATATGAGATTTGCTGCATGGAATTTTCTGAAGTCTTGAATTGTATCTGCTCTGGGCATTTTTATAATGGAACTGGCATGAGGGCTATGTCTCATATTCATAGGTGCTGACAAATGTCACCTTCAAGAGTATGAAACAAAATTGAGAGAATTTGGTGGGTGTGGTGGGGTGGGGGTGTCCAGAATTGAACATAGCATCATGTATTACAGGACCTGTGGAATAGGACTTGTTTTGTCACACACAACATTTTAGACAAACCGTTTTGATGAAGATTTGCACAGCTGAAATATCAGATTTTTTTTTTCCATTCAACAATACTGAGCATTCTTATAAACAAAGCAATTTGCCCCTTCCTGAAGGTAATGGATGATTTGAAAAAATTTGAGATCCCAATTCTGATCTGCATCTTAAGCAAAAGCTAATCAGCTCATCTTTGGCTCATACCCTATCTATGTTACAAATTTTGTTGAAATTTGTTCATTTTTTGAGATATATTGTTTATATACAAACAAACTAACAAGCAACCAATAGCATATCCTCTGCCCACCTTCATTCATAGCATAACAATGGATTGGACTCTAATTTAATCCATTTTTTACTAATGGAGCAAAAATTCATTCCTGCGAATGGTATCATAATCCATACCATATCACTTAAGTTACTCAGGAACCTATTCCAATTTCTTTTAACAGAAAAGCATCAATGAAGGCTTGTTACTGAAGCAGACTAGCTCCTTCCAGAGGTGGAAGAAAAGATACTTCAAGCTCAGAGGACGAACTCTATACTGGGCCAAGGATTCAAAGGTAATACAATCAGGGCTGACACTGTTCATGTTTGTCAACTGAAACAAAGCATGTTGCTCATCATTTTCCAATGAGTTGATAAGGAATCTCACCCAAACTCAGAAAATTACTAACATTTAGGACTGCTACAAACCAATCCTCGATGTAACAATAATATGGCAGCATTTGCTCACATTTTATTAAACCACAATTATCTCAAACCACCTTGCAAATGATTAATTGTCTTGAATGGTGCCATGAATTTTATTATGCTTGCACAGAAATAACTCGGCAGCAATATGTAATCAGCAGTGGGGCAGCTGATGAGGAATGTTGCTCGGGACATCAGGGACAATTCCAATCCTAACAGTATGATTCCTCACAATTTCTGTCCAGACAATTCTCTTCCTGATAATACCATTCCCGATATTTCCAATCTGGACAATTCCAATCGTATGCCATTCCTGACAATTCTAACCCACACAATTCCAATCCTGATAATATCATTCCTGACAATTCCAATACAGGTAATTCTAATCTAATGCAATTCCTGACAATCCCAACCCAGACAATTCCAATCCAGTGCCAATCCTGACAATTCCAATCCTGATCACACCATTCCTCATAGTTCCAAACTGGCCAAATCCAATCCAAAGCCATTCCTGACAATTCCAACCTTGTCAAATCTAATTCAATGCCATTTCTAACAATTCCAATCTAATGGAAATCCCTGATAATTCAAATTCCTGATGCTTGAATTCTTGACATTGACTTTCTTAACAACTCAATACGACACACTTCCAGGCCAAGACAAGTGTCAGCACCTCAACAATAACACTGCAAACATTTGCAGCAGGATCTTCAGAGGCTCGGGTATGTACCTGGATCTGCGATAGACAATCTGTGCTCAGCGCTCTCTGATATACACTTCCTTGCAGAAGGTTGCTAAACCTTCTTCACAGGTGGACAGCTGAAGGTAACACAGGAAATTTGGATGCCTTGCCAGTCAAGAACAGAGCAGCAAATTTTCTTTTATCCTACACATGTCTTTGAGGAACAGTTTGAAGCAAAGCAGAACAGAATTGTCCTGTTAAACTGTCCAGGTGATAGAATATAAGAATCTAAAATCCTATAGCATTGTCACGGAGTCTCCATGGAATTAAAACTCAATCTTCTGTCAACAAACTGAGAGTCATATCATTAAAAACGATCAGAGGGCTCATTTGCTTTTAAACCTTTTGTGTATGTTTATGAAAGAAACATAGAAAATGGGAGCAAGGATAGGCTATTTGGCCCTGCAAGCCTGCTCCTCCATTCAACATGTTCACTTATACAATTCAGTGCCCTGTTCCTGCTTTCTCCTCATATCCTTTGATCCCTTTACCCGTTAGAAATATATCTAATTCCTTCACAAAAAACATGAGCGTTGGTAAAGTATGTTTGCCTGATGGCCAAGAATGACATAGTTGTACAGTGAAAGATCTGTTGCCTCTCCAATTGGCACACAGAGGAGGTGATGGTGAGGAATAAAGGGTCAGGAAACCAATCGCAGTGATATGATGAATATAGATGGGAGTTCATGCGGTGAAACCTAGGGGACAGCGTTTAACAGCATAGTAAACCCAGGGAGAACAAGTGTTGAAAGGGAGACTCAATACTGACAGAATGAATTCACATACAGTTCACTGAAATGGGATAATAATATCCTGCTACTTTAACAATGTGCTGTGAAACTGGCCTCACATCACATTCTGATTTGAAAAATAATTTCCTCAGTAAGTTTTTACCCATAGTCCACAATGAGCCATAGACATCTCTCTCCATTAGAGAGACAATTGGCTAGATTGCTTAAGGATGACCACACAGTACCCAGCATAGGGCAAGGCAAAGCGACAGACTTCCATGAAGTCTAATCACTTCCAGTTGCAAGATATTCTGCAGGTGTTTTTCTATCTCTGATGTTTCCTGACAGTAATCAATCCCGACATTTGCTCCATCAATCAGAATGGTGCATCAATATTTAGAGGGGTGCACACTCCAAATCCTGTATCTCTTTCCAACTCTTTCTTTTGTTCCTTCCATCATGGCTCATTTTTCTTCCATGCTCTTGTTGAAATGGAGAAACTTTAAGTAGAGTTAGGATAGGAGGTGGGGCCATGGATTTATAATTCGTTTGAAAGACAGTACCTGTGACAGTGCAGCACTCCCACAGCACTGTTCCTCCAATAGTGCAGCACTCCCTCAGTACTGAACATGCAACAGTGCAGCACTCCCTCAGTATAGACCCTCCGACATTGCAGCATTCCTTCAGTACTGACCCTCTGACAGTGTGGCACTCCCTCGGTACTGACCCTCTGACAGTGCGGCACTCCCTCGGTACTGACCCCCTGACAGTGCAGCACTCCCTTGGTACTGACCCTCTGACAGTGCAGCGCTCCCTCAGTACTGACTGTCCAGCAGTGTGCCCCTCTGACAGTGCAGCACTCCCTCAGTACTGACACTCTGACAGTGCAGCTCTCCCTCAGTACTTCCCCTCTGACAGTGCAGCACTCCCTCAGTACTGACACTCTGACAGTGCAGCACTCCCTCAGTACTGACACTCTGACAGTGCAGCACTCCCTCAGTACTGCCCCTCTGACAGTGCAGCACTCCCTCAGTACTGCGCTGACGTGACAGCCTGGGTTATTTGCTCAAGTCTCTGGGGTGGGGCATAAACCTACAATCTTCGAGCTCAGAGACTACTCACTGACCCATTACCCAAAGTACAATCTAATGTAGACTCTCACACCCAACCTCAAGCCCTGCTACATTTACTGATTTCTGCTAAGGCTATATTCTGATTATACCTGGTATTCTAATTGTATCTTATATTCTACTCAGCCTGTATTCCGATTGTAGCTGTATTTTGATTGTAACTTGTGTTCTAATTATAGCTTGAATTTGACTGTAACCTATATTCTGACTTAGCTGTATTCCGATTGTAGCCTGTATTCCGATTATAACCTATATTCTGATTTAGCTTTTATTCTGATTGAAACCTATATTCTGATTTAGCCTGCCTTATTCACCTATACCTGAAGTCCTGCTCCTGGTTCGGCCTCTGATTGCAGTTTGTCTTATTTCTCTCATTCCAGTCTTTAATATTCGATGAGGTGGATCTGTCTAATGCCAGTGTTGCTGAGACCAGCACTAAAAACATTAACAACAGTTTTACCGTAAGTTGCTGCTTTTTCCTGATTTTATCTTTCTCTTGTACAGTGACCACTGCATTGTTTCTCTCATAGTGTCAGAAGAATCCTCTTTCCGAACAGGGAGTTACATTGAAACCCCTGTAACCGTCTCTTAATCATAGGTCTTAGACAATCGTAAAGTCATCTCCACGGTGGCTTAAATGATTCAGAATCTTTGTGTGTCACATCTCTGGCAAATATCCTACAGTGAGAGTCAAACTGTTCTGCAGGTACTGTGAACAATAGGTACCATGAGATCTAGGAAGACTGCTCCTGCTGAGAACAAAGTATTTCAGAATTGTGGCTGTTAAGTTCTACAATGTGATGCCACCCTCTGACTCACGGTGACACACAAACCGCCCCCTGTTAACTACCTACCCCATGGTTAGGGTCAGCAGCTACAGTACCTTCTTGTGAAGCAGGCTTGCTTACATATTGTGCCATGAGGGGCAGGCTATGTCTCTGCACTTGAGGTTCTGCACTCGTTGAGCTCTTGAGCAAGCAATCCACCCGAATAAAGAGACTAAAAGGTTAAGAGTAGGTTTTGCTCATTGACACTGGTGGGCGCAGCTGATCTCATCCACTTGCTGAGGGGTGCACGGTGGCTCAGTGGTTAGCACTGCTGCCTCACCGTGTCAGGGACCCGGCTTCGATTCCGGATTCAACTGTCTTTGTGGATTTTTGTATATTCTCCCCATGTCTGCGTGGGTTTCCTCCGGGTGCTCTGGTTTCCTCCCACAGCTCAAAGATGTGCAGGTTAGCTGGATTGACCACGGGAACTGTAGGATTACATAGTAGGGTAGGGGAGTGGGCCTGGGTGGAATGTTCTTTGGACGGTCGGTGTGGACTCGATGGGCCGAATGGCCTGCTTCCACACTGTAGGGGTTCTGTGATTCTATGACTGGCTGGAAATGCAAATGGAAATTAAAGCAAGGAAGACTTGCATTGACATAACACCTCACACAACATCAGGACAACCAAAAGCTCTTCACAGCCAATGGTGTACTTTTGAATAATATTGTTACGTAGGAAATACAGCTCCCCCAAACAAGCGATATGAAGTAATCTTTTATCAATATTGGTTGATGGCTCAATGGTGGGGGTCAGTTAGCCTGTTAACTGCTTTGTGGTAAAGGGTGATGCTAACAATGGGGTTTCAATTCCTGTACTGGCTCAATTCACTATGAAAGCTTTAGTGCCTTCTGAATCTCACTCCTTGCCTGAGGCATAGTGACCCTCGGGTTAAACTCACAAACTGTTGGCTGTCCTTCATGTTGAATGAGAGAGCAACCAGGACGTCATGGAGAACCCCCTTTACACTTATCCCACTGTGATGGGAAGCCTCTGACATTCATCTGAGATAGTCGGCAGGACCTTCATTTAATATTTCACCAACAAGTTGACATAGTTAACAATGAAGCATTCCGCCAGCATTGCACTCCAGTGTCAGCCTCGAATGTGTTCAAATCTCTGGAGTGAACCCTGAAAATACAGCCTTTGATTCAATGTTAAGGGTTCTGGCTCGGGCAGCTTCTCATTCCCTGATGGACACCGATGATGGGATGGTCTTCTGACCAGCAGCATGAGTTAGGAGTAATGGTCATATTCCCTGGAGCATCAGAGGCTGAGGGGTGACCTTATAGAAGTTTATAAAATCATGAAAGACATGGTTAGGGTAAATAGCCAAGGTTTTTTTTCCCAAGGTAGAGGAGTCCAAAGCTAGGTGACGTAGGTTTAAGGTGAGAGGGGAAAGATATAAAAGAGACCTAAGGGGTAACTTTTCCATGCAGAGCGTAGTGTGTGCACGGAATGAGCTGCCAGAGGAAGCGGTAGAGGCTGGTACAATGACAACATTTATGAGGCATCTGGATGGGTACATGAAAAGGAAGGGTTATGGAACAAAAACAGAAGTTGCTGGGAAAGCTCAGCAGGTCTGGCTACATCTTTGAAAAGAAAATCACAGCTAACATTTCGGGTCAGGTGACCCTTCCTCAGACCTGATGGTAGCTGGGAAAACGTCGGTTTATATTGCAGAAAATAGGGAGGTGGATGGGGTAGGGAGTAAACGATAGGATAGAGCCCGAAGGGAGAGAAGAGCAATTGGATAGACGAAGGAGTTGATAACGATCTGGCTAGGAGGGTGAATAGTTGTTAATGGGGATTATTAGTGACTAACAATAAGGCGGTGTATAATGGCAGACTATGTGATAACAAGGCCTGGTGTGTGTGGGGTAGGGGCTAGGACATGGAGAGTCTACGCCCTAAAATTATTGAACTCGATATTGAGCCCAGAGGGCTGCAGAAAATGAAGTGTTCTTCTTCCAGCTTGTGTTGAGCTTCGCTGGAGCACTGTAACAAGCCAGAGACAGAGATGTTGGCCAGGGAACAGGGTGGTGTGTTGAAATGGCAGGCAACAGGTAGCTCAGGGTCTTTTTTTGCGAGCAGAATGTAGACAGGGATATGGGCCAAATGCTGGCAAATGGGACTAGATTAATTTAGGATATCTGGTCTGTATTGATGAGTTGGACTGAGGGGTCTGTTTCCATGCTGTACAACTCTATGACTCAATGGTTTTGAGTCAGTAAGTCTAGCACTGGTTCTATTTAATATATTACCTGCTCTTTACCAGTTACGATCCCCATAGAACAATTTTCAGTCTCCTCAGTTCTCTGGGTCCAGCCAGTAGCTTGGAAGAGAATTGTAGAAAACATCATTATAGTGCAGGAAGCATCACTTGTTGCCATTGTGTTTGGACATTTGTTGATTCCACCTTGTGCTTTTTGAAATGACACTGGCCCTAATGTCTGTACCTATTCCCTGGGATATCAGAATTAACTGCTGCTCACTCTTGGTGACATTCTGCAATGAGATAGAGATACCCAGGGCTAAACACAGGCTCCATCAGGAAAAGAGTTCTTTATTCTAAATCGAGGTTTATTTTCAGATCATTACGCCATTCCGAAAGTTAATCCTGTGTGCAGAGAATAGGAAGGAGATGGAAGATTGGATTACTGCATTGAAATCTGTCCAAAAACTTGAGAATTATGAGGTAACGAAATAGAAGTGTCAATTCTTTTCACACTCTGTTGGAAATGACATCTGGTCCATCCCTGGAACATTGTACCCTCACTGTCAATCTGCTTTTTCTTCTCCCACACTGGGACATGCCTGCCTGGGTGTATATGCATAGTTTCGCTGGTGTTTGTGTGTCTGTGTTCCTGTGTGTGTTTGTGCACGTGTATGTGAGTATAGGTGTGCGCGAGTGTGTCTATGTGAATCTGTGTTTGTGTGTGTGTGCATCCAGATGTGTGTGTGCGCGCGCACACGCACACATGCACCTGTGTGAGTATATGTATCTAGATATGTAACGGTATGTATGTCTGCACAGTTGTGTGTCTACATATGTGTCTGTGTTTATATTTAAGATTGGGCACCATGTATATGCACTGTGGAAATATGTTTAAATATGTGGAATTAGAGTCAATGACAGTCAAAGTGTACAGAGAACATCAGAGCAGATTAGACGCGTGGGAGTCAGTTAATAATAGGATGGAGTTTATACGCATTGTGGAATTAATGTTTGAGCAGAGTGCGTGATAGTGGAGAGGCAGTGGAAGGAAGAGAGTGGATGGATGAATGCTCATTTATATTTAGAGACATCCACATAAATGCTGAGTGTCTATGCATTACACCGAGTGACATGTCTTACTCATGGTGTGCATGGCATGGTGTCATGACCGTGGCTAGGTGTTTGAATGGGCATGACTCACCTCTGCATTTGATGTCCTCCCTCTGAGCTTCAAACTGAGCACGTTTGTTGTTGGGTCTTCCCTAGGCAAGCCAGCTGAACATGGAACATTTCTCAGGGATGCACAACTGGTATGCGACATCCCACGCCCGCCCCACCTTCTGCAATGTCTGTCGGGAGGCCCTCTCAGGAATGACCTCTCATGGGCTCTCTTGTGAAGGTAGGTGGGAGTCACTGTGACCTCGCTGTAGGCTTGAGTCATTTCAGTTTTAAAAATATTAATTGCCTTAATTACTGAAGCATCAAAATCACAAAGCAGTAGGGAGTAAAGAATATTTTAAAAATTGACACTTGGAATTGCCAGGAAGCTTTTCTTTTGGCTTCACTGCCTTCTATTGCCGGATGTTTCATCCAAACATTGTTTGATGTGTTAGCATTAGATTTAACATCTCCAGGAATGTCCAAGCAATCCACTGGGAAAACAGCCAGCTCAGTCCTCAACAATATCAATCATAGGATGGATAGAACAGTTCACAGCAGGATGCAGCTTGATATTAATGGAGCCCCATACAGTCCTAGGTTGCATGGCCATCCTTCAAAGGAATGGATAAATTTATATCCCTAACATGAGACAGCAGAATTGGGATTAGAATGAAGATGGGCAAATTTATCGATAATCTTATCACAAGGCATGGTTGGCTTTAGCACCCATCTTTTTTACCCAATGCAAGTCAGAGTCTGGCCCAGCATATAGGATTGCCCTGGAGCCTCCTGCAAATGAAGATTTATCTCCTGGGACTCCTGTGATTAACACAATTCACTGTAGTTGCATGTGAAACTGAATAACAAGGTCATAATGCACCCAGATTGCAAAATGGCCTGACCATATGATCGTTCTAGAAACATAGAAAGATCAGTTCCTGGAGCACAGGGGATTCTGGGATTTTCAGTGACCATATTGACTGTAGCCAATTTGAGTTGTTGGGGATGGGCAAGTGGTTTTTTTTTTATTCATTCAAGGGATGAGGGCGTCACTGGCTAGGCAGCATTTATTGCACATCCTAATTGCCCAGAGGGCAGTTAAAAGTCTATGACATCGCTGTGGGTCTGGAGTCACATGTAGGCCAGACCAGGTAAGGATGGCAGTTTCATTCCCTAAAGGACATTAGTGAACCTTCCCTAAAGGTTTTTCCGACAATTGATTCATGATATTTATTGCAGATATTTATTGAATTCAATTTTCACCACCTGCCATGGCGGGATTCGAACCCGGGTCCCCAGAACATTATCTGGGTCTCTGGATTAACAGTCCAGTGATAATACCATGAGGGTGGACAGTAGGGGGTGCAATGTGTCAAATACTTTGGGGGCAGGAAGCCTTGTGATGATGTCTTCCAGAATATATTCCAAACACAATTGATAACCTGACCAGCCTATGATACTGAGATAAATAAATTCTGAGGAAGTTCTGAGGAAGGGTCACCGGACCCAAAACGTTAACTCTGTTTTCTCTGTTTTCTCCTCCACAGATGCTGCCAGACCTGCTGAGCTTTTCCAGCAACTTTGTTTTTGTTGTCTATGATACTGAGATAGTAGGAACTGCCGATGCTGGAGAATCTGAGATAACAAGGTGTAGAGCTGGATGAACACAGCAGGCCAAGCAGCATCAGAGGAGCAGGAAAGCTGACGAAGAAGGGCCGAGACCCGAAACATCAGCTTTCCTGCTCCTCTGATGCTGCTTGGCC